GTACCCCACTGTTATATAGTAACAGACCTGTCCCCACCAGTACTGTAGTGTTATACACTGACAGACCTCTCTCCACTGGTACTGTACCCACTGTTATACAGTGACCAACCTGTCTCCACTGATAACGTTATAAACTGACAGACCTGTCCCACCAGTACTGGACCCCAGTGCTATACAGCACCAGACCTGTCCTCACTGCTACTACACCCAGTGCTATACACTGACAGACCTATCCCCACAAGTACTGTATCCGTGTTATACAGTAACAGACCTGTTCCCACCAGTACTGTATCCCAGTGTTATACAGTAACAGACCTGTCCCCTCTGGTACTGCACCCCTGTGTTATACACTGACAACCCATTCCCCACCAGTATTGTAACCCAGTGTTATACAGTGACACACCTGTCCCCACCAGTAGTGTACACCAGGGTTATACACAGACAGACTTGTCCCCACAAGTACTCTATCCACTGTTGTAATCTGACAGGCCAGTCCCCACCAGTACTGTACCCCAGTGATATACTGCGAGAGACCTGTCCCCACCAGTACTGTACCCTAGTAATATAGAGCAACAGGCCTGTCCACACCAGTACTGTACCCGTGTAATACACTGACAGACCTGTACCCACTGTTACACAGTGACAGACCTGTCTCCACTGATAATGTACCCCACTGTCATACAGTGACAAACCTGTCCCCGCCAGTATTGTACCAGTGTTATACAGTAACAGACCTGTCCCCACCAGTACTGTACTGCAGTGTTATACACTGACAGACCTGTCCCCACTGGTACTGCACCCCTGTGTTATACAGCAACAGACCTGTCCCTACCAGTGCAGCACCCTGGTGTTGTATAGCGACAGTCCTGTCCCAAACATTACCGCACCCCAGTGTTATACAACAACAGACCTGTCCTGACCAGTACGTACCCCAGCGTTATACAGCGACAGACCAGTCCCCACTAGTACTGTACGCCAGTGTTATACACTGACAGATGTGCCCTCACCAGTACCGTTCCCTGGTGTTATCCAGCAACAAACCTGTCCTCACTGATACTGTACCCTGGTGTTATACACTGACAAACCAGTCCTCACCAGTACTGCACCCCAGTGTTTTACAGTGACAGACCAGTCCACACCATCACTGTATCCCAGTGTTATACAGCGAAAGATCTGTCCCCACAAGTTCCCTACCCACTGTTATACAATGACAGACCTGTCTCCACTGATAATGTACCCTAGTGCTATACAGTGACAGACCTGTCCCCACCAGTACCATACCCAGTGTTATACACTGACAGACGAGTCTGCACCATTATTGTACCCCAGTGTTATACAGCAACAGACCTGTCCCCACAAGTACTCTACCCACTGTTATACGACGACAGACCTGTCTCCACTGGTACTGCACCCGTGTTATACAGCAACAGACCTGTCCCAACCAGTACTTACCCCAGTGTTATACAGTGACAGACCAGTCCCCACCAGTACCGTACAGCAGTATTATACAGTGACAGACCTG